TCTCCACAGCAACTCCACTGCGTGCTGCGTTCTATGTATTCATATTCTGTACACTGACTCTCTCTGACAGGGTTTGCTGTCACCCTGTCTCTGGGCGCAAGCACCCTCTGACAGACCAAACTGATTTGCTTCATCTCCACAATATTTATCTCCTTTCGATTTGAATTTCTGTTTGTTCTGCACTCTGATTTTTCCTTGTTGCACCTGCGCTTTTGAAGTTTTGTACGCGGAACTTTGCTGTCGCCATCGCGTCGCCATTATTTATATCCATGGTTACGTGGTGGTATGACTCATCGATGCATCATGCGCGCATGATCATTCTTCTTTTCTACTCAGTACTCGTACACTTCGATATGCATGCACGCACACTGATGTACACGTACACGTAAGCCAATGCACGCACGCGAGCACGTTTTGCTGATGACAGCGATTTGGCGATCGTTGTTGTTGTTGTTTTCTGGTTGATTTGAGAGTATGGTTGAAACCAATAAGTAAATACAGTCTTCTAGTTGTCTCCACGAAAAGGCCAGGAAATCGCGCTACAACAGGGGTCTGAAGACCGCGTAGTTTTTAGTTGTGGTCGATAATTTCACAATATCCCATCGGATTGGCGGCCATATATCCTCTTCATCCCTTCAGCTTTGGTGGCATTGTCCTGTCAATTAGTCAGTGTGTGTCTCTCGCATCATAGAGAGATGTACGAGGTCGGCTGCAGTGCGTTGAAGACCACGTTCCTGGCACCCCCACACAGGCTCGACCAGCTCCTACAATTCTTTCTTCTTCCCTGCCACAAATGTGGGACTCATCAAGTCGGCTTCTTCGCCTTGCCCTTCACACGCCTCTTGCCCTTCAGGGAGTCGCAGGGAGACCGGCAACCGATTGTGACTGGACATTGAATGTGAGGTTTTGCACTTTGTCTGCCTGTTCCTGTCGCCCATGGGGAAGATGTACAATGCTGGATGATGCAATCTAGTGTACTGATGCAATCTAGTGTACTGATGCAATCTAGTGTACTGATGATAACAGTTATTACTACACCAGATAGGGTCAATCACCACTGTGAAATGTAAACACAGACCAGTCCAGGGAAACCATAACTATTCAGGTTTTGCTGGGCTGGTTCATGTTTGCACTGAGGTCAATACATTCAGCCAAATCACTATTACATGTATGACGTGACGGTGACCAGAAAAGACCACGTCGAACCTCCAAACCAAGTGTTGAAATAATCTGCTGATCTTTGTGCACAGTACAGTTGTGGCAATTCATGAGATGCTGGGATTGCAACCCTGTTCAAGGATACATACACAGTTTTGATAGTCGTGTACAATGTCGTGTTTTTCATGCCTTTCTTCCTGGTGTCGTAGCTGTGGACTGGAATAGCTGACGCATGGTGCACACTGTGAACTAGTGAAGACAATACGAATACGATTGGTGCCCAGCTAGTAGCCCTTGCTACAACAGGCTGAAATATGTCGACTCATCTGACAACGATAAAAGGCCAGCAGCAGTAACTGTTGCAGACCCTATTGTTGGCAGTGTGAGCAGATCTTGACAAGGTATGCTCCAGTAATGACATATGAAGGGAATCTTTCCAAGTAGGAAAAGATCCTGCAAAGCTTCAGATGCTCTTGTACTTGTAGTTTCTTCTTCTTTTGTCGAAATGAGAGATGAGGCTATCACAGTTGACTTTTAACACAGTCTTGGTCTTCTCCTTTCTTATTCGGTCAACTTCATGTCCCGACGCATGCAGGCTCATTAATCCGTCAACGAGTGAAATCGGCATAGTCCACACTCGATACCGCTCTAAAAGCTCCGCACCCAGCTGCAGATTAATGCATGGAGGAACACGGCAGCGGTGATTACCAGAAAAAGAAAGGTGCATGTTCGCATGCTTTGATACTTTGAATTTCTATTCCTCAATCTCTGAAGACCTCCTCCAGTGATCCATGGAATTCGCCCGTCCCTACACGGACATCTCCCTGGAGGAGTGTGACATAATTTTCCCCTCCAGACAATGGCTACTGTTTGGCCTGGAGAAGCGTGACTAAGTGAAAAGGCACAGTGAGCACTTTGACGTGGGGTGCTATCGTGGAGCGGACGTCTGTGAGCTTTTTGGAGCCTTTGCCCTCACTGATGATCACTTACATAGTCCAGTTAAGAGTTTAAGAGTGTTTGCCCCCGGAATAAACGAACATTTTTCAACTGTCAGTTCTGGACTGTATTACTATTATGGAACCCTGCCGCTCTCATATCACTGGATCGCCCATCTCCTTTGATCTCCTATCCTATTTTTCTGTCAAAACGAACAGTCTGGGCTACACCATGTGTTTCCCGAAAAGAGAGATGAAATGTTCACCCAGGAAGGCATCATCATAACGTCCTGAAGCAATCGCGTAATGTTTCTGTCAAGTAAAGACAGGCGTGTGATTATAAAAAAGAACACATTTTGCATCGTAAAAATGATAAATTTCCGAAAGTAGAGATGACCCGGTTAAGGTGGCAGACTACCCAAAAATTCGCTGAAAAATCGAATTTGTAAATTCATATTGAATGCTACGTCAGTTGAAAGAGCATGAATAGCTGCAAATTCTCTGAAAATTGTGTCCCGATCTGACCGGCCGTTCAAGAGTTATGGCCGAAAATGTGCCCTTGCAAGGAAAGATTCGTATCATGGAAACACGTGAAAGTGTGCAGAATTTTGCTCCAAGTCCAAAAATCAGGTTTTTGAGCCACGTATTAGGCTGCACGGCGGCGGGCTTCGCCCGCCGCCGTGCAGCAGGACTTTTGCCAGCACCCTCGTGACGTTGCAGATATGTGGCTTGATTATTGTAGTTGACATTGATTTAGTGACTTTGGCAAGTTTGAGTCGTGTCAAGAAGTCAGGTAGGATTCAGTACTAGGCAGTAGTGAAACGTGAGTGGTAGTCTTTGCCGGTTTCTGAGGGTATCCTGGATTTGGTGTGCAGCGCTGTGGAAATGGCTTGCTGTGGAGGTCCCAGCACTGGATGTTGTATCAAAGGTACGACCTCGTAGCACACCCTAAACCTAAAAAAATTCAAAAATTGACTTGGGTCTGTGGGAGTGTGTGAGAGAACGCCCACTCGTTCCGTTGTGACAGATTCCAGGGCCTCGTTGAGGGGCCCTACCCCATCACCCATGGCTGCTTCTGGACTTGTTCTAGGTTGGAGTCCCGCGCGCGCGAACAGAATGAGCACGAAAATGTTAAAAAAAATTGTAAATGCATTTGTTTGGCTCCTGGGTGGCTCGCACACCGTGGCACTATGCCGGAAATTTGAGTTTTTCCGGCCTGGAAAGCCTGTCAGTGAGGCGCAAGAACTTGTAAATCATGTCCTGAGGGCCAGCATAGTGGCAGGAGTGTGTGGTCAAAATTTCACTCAAATCCATTGAGAAACACCAAAGTTACGGTCAATTGAATGCCATATGAAATTTATGGGTAGGCTGCCCCCTTGAGTAATCATTTCTGCATTCCTGCCTGTCAACATACCCATTTAAGTTAAGCCATGGCTTGCATATTCTTTACAAGAAGTTGAAACGTTCTTCAAGCACTCACTCAATCTGTGGGCCAGTAGATTGCAATTAATATTTACAGTGATGTGTCCGTACTGAGTTAAGCTTTCTCCGCTGAAGATTTCAGAGTGTCATAGCATGCAATTTCAATAACATAATAGGATTGCCGTAATAAAAATGGCACAACCATAGTCTTCTTCCATACAATCGAACTCCATATGCTGTCCCCGGGGAAATTTGCGATTCGCAGCCGCGTTTTTTCCCCGCGTTTTTTGCGATTTTTTAAAAGACCGCGTCTGCGATTTTCCCGCGTTTTTTGAACTTTTTTGTTGCACTACACGTACACACAGTGCACTGTTCGGTCAGCAACGTCTCATCGTGGCGGCTTTTTACTCAAATATGACGAGTGCTTACACCAGAGACTTGTAACTGATGGATTTCACTACATACTCACTGAAAATTGCCGCACATCAATATTTATTCACCGCATATTTACCGCAAATTATGCCATATGCCGCGTTTTTCCCCGCGATTTTTACCATTTTTTTCCGCAATTTTCCCCGGGGACAGCATATGCATAATATCGGCCATTGAATTTTGGTTGCACCATCTATCATGATTGCATGTAGAAATCATCAGACAGCAGCTGTAGGTGAGCTTTAAGAAGAAATGAAAACCAGGTGGCCTAGACTGAGAAACCTATGCTATCCTAGTGACACAGCCAGCAAGGAATACCAACACACAGCAGAAACAATTATAAAAACAAGACAATGAACGATATTTTTGAACTACTTTCCGTTTTGTGATTTGGGGCAAGTTGATTGGTTGGCCACATACATCTGCCATAATCACATCCCGGGAATTTTCTCGAATACGTTGGCAAGCAGTTTGAGGAAGGGACTAGAAAATAAGAACCCCACATTTACCTACCCTATCCACCACACACTAGCTAGATGATATGTGACGATTGTGTACAATATGCATTGACACAAGAAGTATAAAATGTGCTATGCAGAGGGTTAACTGTGTGCCGTCAAGCGTATCATTGGGAGTAGAGATGACACAGTGTGGCAGGGCCTGGAATAGCAGACGCCTGCTGATCACCGTGCCAGGAGCAGAATCCTGCTGTTTGCAAATGTAAGCATGCCGGGAAAAACTGGGTAATGGAAGCAATGCCCATGTATATTGCAACACGTTTATTCACATGTACATAACATTAATGCAAGCACGAGCCACGAAGTCTACACACTGAGGAGACTTATCAATGTTGAACCAGCTAAGTGTACATATTGAGTATGACAAATACAAACAACCAACTCCATGCATGTTCAATGAGAGGCAGTCCGGTTCCACTACCACCATGTATGCATGTACAATACTGGTCAAAGAAATCCAACCTCATGAATAAAATAGCATTGCCGGGCGCTATGCACCCCTACTGGCACTAGCTCTGCACGTACTACTGGTCTGTGCACTCGAACGCGGCGCTCCTTTGTTCATGAGGTTGGGTTTCTCTGGCCAGCACTGTGAACATGCATATGCATGCCATTGCCATTGCCAGTGCCAGTGAGAGAATGTGGTTGAGGTCGCTGCTGCTCAGGAGCAAATCAAACCAAGGTGTCCTCGATCTCAAACGTGAAATTGTACAGATTACGAGCCAATGCATTCGCTCGGTGCGACAGTGTTCGGGACAGCATTCTGGAGCCGTCTTCCATGTTGACCCGACCTAACTCCCGCCTAGGCTCATCATCGACATCAATGGCTGGCACAGAGGGTGCGGACGTGGAGTCCCAGTGGTGGGCATTGGAGCGAGCGTGTCTACGCTGCATCTGCACAACACAGATAATCACGCATATTCCATATTCAGTGCATGCACCTATTAGGGTACAATGTATGATTGTTCATCATGACATGAGGGAGCCCAGCAGCAGCAGCAGCACATCTCATGTACTCTTGGTCAGAGAGTCGTGAAAATACTTTCTCCTGTTCAGAGTTTACACTTGATTGCTAGCTCATAACCACTTCAGCATCATAATGGTTGTGTTGATCTTGAACCTCTAATGAGTGGTATTTCCTACTTCTTCAACAGATAAGAGGCAATAGACCGATCCCCTTATTATTGTCTGGGTTCGAGCAAGGGGGCAACTCCGCAGTCGCGTGGGATCCTGCTGCACACACGCGACCAACCTCACCTCGGCTGTGCGTGACTTCTCGCATGCGAAGTGCAGAGCACGCGAAATCTACACGCAGTGCAAGCCTGTCTACAAAAATGCCACAAGAACTTTTGATTTGAGCTGTTTTGTTTTTGTTTAGATCTTCCTTTTTACGACTTCAGGATGCCTTCTCAGGATCATTGCTGCGTTCCTCACTGTCAGAACAGGAGGACGAAGCAAACAAGTCATTTCACTCCTTTCCTCGTGTGGAGCCACAGCGGCCTGGAGCAAGCGGATCCAGGCTATTCCCCGTGAGGAAGGACGTAGTTTTAGGGTCACTCTGAATATTTGAGTTGCAGCGATCATTTCGATCCCGAAGTCGAAATCGTTTTGCCCAGCTCTACAAGGGCAGGATGAGTCCAGGAAACCAAACAGCTGTCCTACGGTACCAGGTTTGCTTTTCGCAAGAGAGTGGAGTCTGGACGCTCTGCTCCCCATGCTCGCAAACAGTATTTGCTGAGCCTAGTGCAGTTCGGTCATGGAAGTGCAGCGTCTGCATCACGAGCTCCCCATGCTCGCAAACCAGTATTTTGCTGAGAGGCAACGGCATTTTGAGTTGGAAAGGAACCTGGCTTAGTGCAGTTTGGTCCTGTAATGGAAGTGCAGCATTTGCATCAGGAGTTGGCAGCAAGTAGAGCTCGTGTACAGAGTCTCGTGGAGCAGTTGGACGATGGGGTGAAGAAAGCCGAAAAACAGCTTACGTACAATAACATAAAGAAAGACTCCGAGCCGCTCCAGTTTCTGACTGGTTTGCCTTCAGGTGTTTGGACCGCTCTGTGGGACTTCTTTGAGCCTACCCGAGAAAATGTACTCGCCGAGCCAGATCTGCGAAGACGGAAGCTGAGGGACGGCGGATACAGTTAGAGGTGGCCGTAAATCGCCAATGAGCATGTAATGGAGGATCAGCTGCTATTGGCATTGATGTGTCTAAGCCTGGGCCGAATGGAACAGAAGCTGTCATGCGTGGCACAAGTTAATCATCCGTTTCACGGTATATAGCTAGCTGAGCTGGAAAGATGTCTTGTTCCTCCGTTTGGGCATGATCCCCATTTGGGCGAGCTGGCGAGATGTTCAGTCATCAATGCCATGTACCGCAAGACATTCTGCATTGTGGATGAAACAGTTCTATTTTGCCATGCACTTAGGGTTCTCGCACCGGCACAACAAGACCCAACTGATCCTTGCGCTCTTATTTTCTCCCATGGTAACATTGCTGATCACAACACCCGGTAGCCAGTCGCAGATGCAACCAAATCAACCAGGTTCTCTTACTCTTTTTTTCTCAATACTGAAACCAAAGGTATACCAATATTTGCATCGAATGCAGTGATGATTTCAATACTGTCCACTAGTACAACGCATTACCAGACTGGCATATAATCATGATAATATTATCCATTTCGCAATCACTGTCATTGCTTTCTTAGACCTTCAATCATCAATATCGGACCATAAACCGTCTATCATCTTATATTTTATCATCATTAGTATCCTGCTACTATCCTCCTCTAACGATGAGCTCGAAGAAAAGAAACAGCGGTCTAGAGGCGTAAACAATATCTGTCAACGGAAGTGTCCTTGCTGTGCTGGTGTGTTTATGCTTCGTGCATTAGTTCGGCCAAGAGCACATGGTGGTGGCGGGTTGAGGATGTTAAATATACTAGAAAATGGTTCACTGTGAACATGCAGGGGGGTATATTCATAGGTTCGAAAGAACCGCACACACACTTTGCTACAGACAGCGGCAAGCTTTGGCCCTCGTGCTTCGAAGAGGGAGCAATCCACTGCGCTACGCTTGCGATTAACAGCAAGCTTCGACTTTTCAAAGGTACGACTCATCATTGGCTCTGGGGTAATGTTCCTGGAACAAATGCCCCATTGCCAACTGAGGGCCAGGGAGCACGCAATCTGCCTTCCTGGGCGAGAAGTGTTCCAGCACAAGAAGCAGCACGAATACATGGTGACAAAGACCACCATCACCACCAGGCGGCACACAGCACACTGTTCTACAAACACCATCCACTCCGTCCATGTGTTTGCACTGTCCTCCTCTAGCTCTTCACGCTCAACAAATACCACGCACTGCTCATCGGTTTTTTTTATGCTTCCTCTGGGTTGGCTAGCCCTTCGACTTGACAAAACAGCGATCACCACTGCACTGCTATCGTCACCTCATAGCAGTCGCTTCCACCAGTGGCTTTTCCTGTCTTTGCAAGGTGTCCAAGGATGGCTGCTGTTGTCACTACAGGCAAATCAGAAGTACTTTAGTGGCTGGTGTCCAACCAGATCGTTGGAAAATCGATTTTTCCACTTCAGGGCTGCTGATCGCGCCTTGGTGACTTGGCAGCACCACGGTTACCTTCATAGAAGATGGCTCTGGAGAGGAAAAGACAGACCAGAAAAAGGTTACTATTATCTTCAGCACCGATCGCAAGGAGAAAGAAATATGGTCTGCTGTAGCCTAGGTACAAAATAAATCTCACACACGATTCGCGATTCGAATATTTCAACAACAAAAAAACTCACCTCTGGAGTAACTCCTGTTTGTGGCCCGAGATCGTTCCCTCCCGCGCCTTGAAAAAATCCTGCAGCGGCATCACAGCCCATGTCTCTCTCGGAGACTCTGCTCCTACCAGCAGGAGGTTTAGCACCGCTCGAAGCCATCGCAAACTTCTTGAACTAAGCAGAAGACATTCCAAAACAAACCTGAAACACACTGTCAAAGATGCTGTCACGTTCAAAAACTAGCTCGATCGCGAGTGAGGTTGCCCCCGTGCTCGAACCCAGTATAATAGGGGGATCGGTCTATTACTAAGTACTGGCAGTTCTCGCGCATCAAAATTTTCTTCTCACGTACCTGTCCTGCAGCGCTGGGCTCTTCTTGGCGGATCCGTCTTGGCAGTGTTCTGCTTCTTGGCGTTGGCCGAAGCCTCGGTGGCTTCACTGGAGGCTCTTCTGCATACGTGTGCTTTGACAGCACCCTTGCAACATGCACACAAGCACAGTGCTACACAGTCAACACGGTGTTCTCTATATTTTTTGTGAAAGTCCCTGGTTCGAGTCCTGGTTGTCACTATCAATTGTTTTTGCTTCAGATCTTTTCCGTTTCACTTCCCTCACACTTACGAAGAGTTCTACTGCTAGATCTTCTCCTGAAAGTGTTTGCAAACAGCAGGCCATATGGATAGGGTATTCTAAAAAAACACCCCACCCAGGTGCCCTGGTGTATGCCCAGAAGAGAAATCATAGACAGTTGATGTTAAAACCAGTTCAACTGGGACTTTTTTTTAAAACAGCAAATGTTGAATGTTGAACTTGTTTAACAACATCAACTGTCTGTAAAAAGACCATATCCAACTCACGAACTTTCTTGAAAGCAAGCTTGTGAGTTGGATGTGGTCTTTCTCAAAGTGTGAAGCTGGACGAGGCATAGAGTTCAAAGAGAAATTTCCACAAAGTTAAAAGACTGCCATTGATGCCATTTCATCATTCTGTCACTGAAATAGATCAGCTTCACTCCCTTGACGCTAGGCATATGTGGAAGGAAGCAAAGCGGGTCCAGTCAGCTTAGTCCAGGATTGCGCTGGCAAACACTGTATTGTTCCAATAGGCGATGTGTATCGTCTAAATCACGATAACTGATCTCAATTTCAAAGCATGGATAAGAATATACCCTCTATCCAGAGTGTCTGCATGCTGCACCAGTCAAGTCACAAAATACGTACTTTGATAGATTGTACACTCGCTTAGTACAGTCAGACCTCGCTGGACCGCACCCATCCGTTTTCCAAAAATATCCAGATAGGCGAGGGATCCGGATAAAAGAGGACCGGATAAGCGAGGCCTGACTGTACGGAGATTGTCCGGAGCACCAGTGCACTGCATTGCATCCATATTATTCAGGTATGCTAGGATGAGAAGAACATGGGATAGTAAGTACAGAATTGTCCTTATCCCCATGCCGGGAGTATGTCTTATCAGACTGTACGACTACAGTGCTACTGAACTACTGAACCATCCCACACCTGATTGTTATGCTCGAGTGCAGCACCCATTCTAGCGGTTTCTATTTTGGTAGTGCTACAAGCGCATGCTGGCTGGGGCTTTGCAACGTGAGCCCACCGAACTGGGGTCGGTTTTCAGTTGACACCACTGTATGTGCCTAGATCAAGTTACTGACTGCGTGTGTCCATGAACATGGACATGGACAGTTACATGGTACATGTACAAAGTACTCAACGCATTCAATTATAATTCAAGGACTACAATGTCTATCCCAAGAATGCTGCTCTGTCCAAAACTTACTGGCTAAGAGACTCGATAATCGCCGTGAGAGTTGCTGATTGAGAAGCCCGCAGAAATATGGCGCCATCACCGCATGATGCTCCCTTGCCAACGTCAATTTGGAGCGAACAAACTGTAGGAAATACATGCCCATAACACACATACGCACATACACACACACACACACCTTAACCTGCCCTTTGCTGCAGCGATGATAGCGAATAAGCTATGTTAAACATAGCAATTTCACACACACACACACACACACACACCACCGCCACCACCACCACCACCATGATTCCCAGTCTTCTAACAGCACATTGCAAATTGCTGCTTACTTGTGATGGTCACTCTTTTCACACTGTTTATATCACAGCGGAAGACTGGATCCTGATAACCCTTCAAGATAAGGGCGATTTCAGTGGAGTTGTGCGCCAGGCTAAGCACAATGTCCGTTGGGCATACGCTGTCACCCAAGCCCCACCGCATGTTGACAATGTCATGCCAGATATGATCTGCATCACGATACAGAGTAACAGCAAGAACAGAATGATGTCATTTTTATCACGGTACAGTACAGCAAGCACAGAGAGTTTAATAGAGCAGTGCTCAGCCCGGCACAAGGCCAGGTAATTGCCGGAAGGAAACCCGGCCTCTAATATTTGGAGCAGCCGCCTTCGTTACAGTCATCATATAAGTACAGTGCGTATCGTTTATAGCGTGGTCGTGTAAAAGAATATACTACTTACAAGAATGACCTCTCATATTTTCATAATCATAACATGGGTGTCAGTTGAACATTTATTCTTACAAGAAATATTATCGCATTGTAGAACATATCGATCCTAAGAATGGACTTTGTGTAGCAAAACATACCAGTTTAGTACACAGTGTACCACCTGTAGTTACATCTGTCCAATGCAGTTCTGCTCGACATCAAGATCTTTTTTGTATTCCAGAACGGCTACTCCGATACGAACTCTAAAACAAGAAAAATAATAATATGTAGCGCAAATAAAGAGAAGGAAAATAATAACCGGTCAAGCGCTAAATACAAACAGAGGAAAAGATATCATAAGCCAATACGCGCTAAACTGCGCTTAAATTATAGTGAAAGGAGAAAAACCGGAATCCGCGAAAATTATAACATACAAAATGATACAGAGAAAGAGGAAGGCCGGAGGAAGGCCGGGGGAAACAGACAGGTAACTGGATGACTACAGATGACACTCGGAGACAGCAAGTGCGGCAGAATATGCATGAGGGTCGAATCTGCTCGACTTGTGACGATGCACACGAAGGCATGACACGGCCGCCTTCACGAGAGCAAAGGACAGCTGGGCTCTGATCAAAGCCATTGCCACAGAGAAAGGCTCACCATTCTTCTCAGACTTGATGCCTGCAATGCGGCCAAAGAGGGTGGAGGCTGTCTTCCCTTGACCACCAGTTGTACTGAATACCACGGGGATGAAGGAAGCGTGCTCTACGTTGATAATGCGACTCTCGTAACTCCTCCTTTTCTCCTCTTCATGCTTTCTGTAGCTGCCAGTGATCGTTGGTTTCCGATTTGAGGGGGCAAATGGGTTGAAAACCCGGACATCTAGAAAGGTCCTCTCAAACCGTCCACCATGTAGACCATGTAGACCATGTAGACCATGTAGACCATGTAGACCATGTAGACCATGTAGACCATGTAGACCATGTAGACCATGTAGACCATGTAGACCATGTAGACCATGTAGACCATGTAGACCATGTAGACCATGTAGACCATGTAGACCATGTAGACCATGTAGACCATGTAGACCATGTAGACCATGTAGACCATGTAGACCATGTAGACCATGTAGACCATGTAGACCATGTAGACCATGTAGATCGCTGACAACGCATCGCATCGTAGTGCTGCTGGTTCAACTGTTGCTGTCATGTATCTCATGCTGCACAGCCACATGGCAAGTGTGTGGGACTATGAATACCCGCATGCACAGCACCGATACGTTGACGTCGTTGTATGTATGATGGCCATCCTGTATCTGCGCACATGCATGTGATATGTCACACTCGGCTTATTGTGTGTAAGAAATATCGGAAATAAGAATAGAAAGTCGTTTTTCAAACACCCACGCTATAACCGATACCTACTGTAAAACGCTGATGTCGCAACACCTTGGTTTGAGACTTTTTCAATGTTCTGAGGTAATAAATAATTAATGAAAATTAATAGGAAACCGTCTGAAGAAACATTGACCGTCACCTCCAAGACTCGAACCAGGGACCTTCGCTAGTGGCCAGCAATGCTCTAACCACTGAGATATGGCATAGCTGTCATCCAAGCAGCAACTGTTTAACATTTTCTTCAGACTTCGTAGCTCACACTTCCTGTGACAATGCAAAGTTTTTTACATTCAAAATACTTGCATATGCAACAAGAAGAACAGCATAATAATAAAAACAATAACAATGTTACTTAATAAGAAGAAGAAAAAGACCAAAGAGGTACAATTTACGCTATAATTATCCACTGACACCACCAGTTAATTATAGCGTAACTTGTAGCTCTTTGGTCCGTTTTTCTTCTTATAAATTAATCTCCACCCGAGTCTAAATAAATGTTACTGTTTTTTTTCTTGCCACACTCTGCCAAAAAGGAAATGGAATACAGTACTATTGGTCGCCGAAGAACTGGGGGTCAGCCTCCTAGCCGTTCTTATTCTCATTTATCACAGTCTATGAGCAGTTGAGTAACCGTGTATACATTGGTAATTTGGTATGCTGTACTTGATGAAATTCTATCCTGGTGGTTCTTCGGCACTACCCGACAGTACTAGATGTCCTCTCCAGCATTAATCAAGTGGATGTATTGACAATCCTACCATATCGAAGTCTCTCTTTGCTTGGCTGGCCCGTGATGAACTCCTGCAGAGCCTCTACCCAGGAACGGCAGGCCGACGGGTTTGGTGCAAACAGCTCCAAGTACTGCGGCCCGAATATGCCTGACGACTTCAGGGAGATGACAAACCGTGCCTGTGGGTCTGTCACCGGGCGGAAGGTGCCTTCATTGGGATCTGCACACGGCAAAACAGATGAATACCAACCAAAGCATATTGCCTCTGTACCAACCAAAGCATATTGCCTCTGTACCACACAGTAGGGACTTTTAAAGTACAACCATTATTCAGTGTAACAGAAATATTTGACTTCAGCTTATGGTATTTTTATTCTGTCATACAACAAACAGTCTCTCCAGCCAATCTTGGTTCCATTGCCACAGCATGCCATCAGGAGAGCAAGATATCGACAGGTATTGAATTCCTTCAAGTGGCTGCTGTGACCCAGCATAATGCTCCTCAACGAGGAAGGTCGGATAGTGAGGAATAGGTATAATATAGTGGGTATCTTAAACTATCTTTTAAGATGACCATAATTATTATAATTATAAAATACATACTGAGTCCGAGGTGTTTACGAGAAATAAAAAACCGACACAAAACCCGAGGCGAAGCCGAGGGTTTTGTGGAGGTTTTTTATAATTCGAGTAAACACGAGGACGAAGTATGTATTTTATTCCCGTAGCTATGCAGAAGACGTTACTTCAGTAACGTCTGGCGCTAGCCAGGGTCCACACAGCTTTAATTTGGTGTTTGTTTGTTTGTTTGTTTGTGTCACGGCTGGAGCTATCCCGTATCTGTCCCGTATCTGTCCCGTATCTGTGACTACAAAGGCTCTACAGGATTGTACATAACAGCTGTCCACAATATTTGCGGGCTCCTGTATCTGTCCCGTACCGTACCAATATTCGTCGTATTATGTATACGACTCCCTGATGTAGAGGGAGATTTGGAAAGAAATAGGGAGACGAAGAGGAAATTAAATTAGAATAGACGCCGATTAGGTGATAGGATGCGTCAGCATAAACATACTTTGGAAGAGAGATCCCGTCGTCTCCAAAATAAGCGTGAACGAGCGATTCAGTGCCGGTCACAGGAAACGTCGGAAGAGAGATCCCGTCGACTCCAGAACGCCCGTGATCGGTAGAGTCCGGCGGTACCAGGCAACGTCAGGACAGACATCCCTTTGAGTCCAGAACGCCCGTGATCGGCAGAGTCTAAGCCGATCCCAGGAAACGTCAGGACAGACATCTCGTCGAGTCCAGAACGTCCGTGATCGGCAGAGTCAGCGCCGGTCCCAGTAAACGTCAGGACAGACATCCCGTCGACGCGCAGAAAAACTAAATCTGCAGCCTCTTTTGCCGTCGAACAGGATACGTTTTTACATAGGAGACTGTAAATTTATGTAATGTCCAAATTTCGACGTGAGCAGCAGGTCACTCGCGTTGATTTTTCGACGTGCGAGCCAAATAACGCGAGCTGAACTTTCGCGTCGCAGACATCCCGTCGACGCGCAGAAAAACTAAATCTGCAGCCTCTTTTGCCGTCGGACAGGATACGTATTTTAGGAGACTGTAAAGTTATGTGATATGCTCCACAGGCAACCATGCATTCGGCGTCGTCATTGGCTCAACAGGTCAATGCACATGTATTACTACAAAAAGGCCAGAAAATCCGATTCCTGTATTAAAATCAACTAATGTTCGCTGGCGATTTAATTTCGCTGATTTCGCCGCTTGGTACCAACCGGCCAAAGTAAATCGCAGGCCAACGTTTGTCATATAGGCAAATGATGCATGATTGAGCAATGGATGCATGTGAGAGCAAAAATACCGATCGATTTCAAATTTGACGTGAAACTGCGCGTCACGTCGGAAATAACGTGCATCTTAACCTCTCTAATAGAGAGGTTTCTATTTTCTCATCGGCCAAAATTTGTTGATTTACAATATAAGGAGATAAAAAGAAAAGAAGGAGCAAAACAAAAGTAGATGATTATTAGAGAAATAACAATCCGCAATAAATTCTGCAAATACTTTTGCCTAACTCATAAGCAAACCGATTGAAACGTTTTTGCAATACAGTGATGTGGCCAATCAACGAAAAAGACATTCCCATCAGTTCTTATAACATGTACGATGAGCTAGGCAAAAAAGCATAAAAGCATAGCGCAGGGCCCTGAGCTTCCAAGCTCTCTCGTTTGGTATTTGTTTGTTTGTGTGTTTGTGTCACGCCTGGCGCTATCCGTATCTGACGGCAAAAAAGCATAGGATGTTATAAATTTTTCAATTCTCCTATTTTTTTTTCAGGCATATCCTGGGATTCGAACCCGCACTATCGCCCTACATGCATTCCCCCATACACTTCGCATTCATACCCATTCTTCCAAGTTGCTTCACGTTATAATCTTGCGTTTGAAAGCCCTATTTGAATATTGCGGGCAGCTGTATGTGGCCAGCTGTGTTTGATGGTATGGTACGGTACGGGAGACGGTATCGTATTACCCTCGATCGTACCTGTCCCGTACCAAGAGTACATGAAAACCAGAGTGTGCAGCTTGGGGCCTTTTCTGCTATGGGTGTCTGTCACGGCGAAATTCCGTGATTACATCATATTTGGCCCAGATCTGAGGCGGGAAGTGGCGTAGTGCGTACAACTGAGCTGCAGTTGTGCAGAAAGAGACCTGCTTGAATCCTGCTTGTACGCACTACATCACTAAAATGATGTAATCACGGAATTTCGCCGTGACAGCAACCCATCCGAGCTGCACACTCTGGTTTTCATGTACTCTTGCCCGTACCTATCCCCTACCGTACCGTGCCATCAAAGACGACTGGCCACAATGCATATTCAAATAGGGCTTTCAAATGCAAGATCACAATGTGAAACAACTTGGAAGAATTAGTATGTATGCGAAGTGTATCGGGGGATGCATGCAGGGCGCGCGATAGTGCGGGTTCGAATCCCAGGTTATGTCTTAAAAAAAAAAGGATTTTTTAAAAGAATTTATAACATCCCTATGCTTTTTTTTGTCTAGGTCATCAAGGCAAAAAAAGCATAGCGTAGGGCCCTGAGCTTCCAAGCTCTCTCGTTTGTTTTTGCTTCATGTGTTTGCCTTCCTTTCAAAATTTTCACTGGCTCACTACACAAGTTCTGTTTCAAAATGGTATTTTGTTTCTTTTGTACTGTTTGTTGTGATTGACAGCGAGAACGGGATTCCGTCTCCGTCCCGTAGCAGGTCTCCTGTCGTCGCGGGACTTCTTAGCCGGTCTGGCATTCCGTGTTTTCCACTCGACGCAGTACATTCGACACAGCTCCCGGCCTCTCTACACCCCAGAACCGTGAGTATGGGGGCTGTTGTTGTTGTTGTTGTTGTTGTTGTTGTTGTTGTTGCTGTTGTTGTTGTTGTTGTCGCCGTCGTTGTTGTTCAACGTCAGTCCACTCACCCTATATGCCATGTGTCTACAGCAAAACTTCAGTGTCGGGTTATTGAAGTAACCACATGTATGCCTGGTTTTGACTCGAAGAATCTGGCAAGATCTCCCCTGCAGCTTAGGCACCAAACCTTTGTTTTGTGGTTCAAGCCTCATGCTTTCATCGGGGAAAAAATTATCCCTTAGGGGCCGGTCACATTGAGGGAACAATCCTCAGATTATAAACCGGGAATAATTTGTTCTGCTTTTCATCACGGCCACACTGCATACGCACAATGAAAATAATCTCACTCACGCGAGCAATTTTTTGTCACCACTCGCTTCTGGCAGTCTGTCAGCTCCGCTCCTGGGCCAGAGCTGCATCAGCACAGTCTCTAGAGTATCGCTCCACTTCAGAACGCAATAAAAAACAAGGAAACTCAAAGAAATCCAGTGGAAGCCGCGGATGATTATAATCTTCGGCGGAAAAGCGGGGCTTCGAGCTGATTTTCATCGAGTGGATTAAATCTCTCAAATCTCCCGCTCAGCGGCAACTATCCATGGTAACCACGAATTATTTTCAAATTTCCCTCAGTGTGACCGGCCCCTAATAGCTGCAGAAAACCGGCCAGCTGTAAGATCTATTTGAGCAGTTACTGGCCGTAAGCGAACTTAGCCTTCTTTGATGTGTGCCTGGGCTGTGTGATTTATTCGAAACAAGTGGTTTCTCTGGCCTTGCTGGATGCCCAGCCAACTCTGGAGTCCTGTATTCATGTCTCAGGACTTGATGGGTCGCCGACCACCACACCAGCTATGTACTTGTACATGTAGTCCAGTTTTTGTGTGTGTGGGTGCTTGTTCACAGAGACATCTGCCATGAGCTGCTTGGCCACGCTCCGTTGTTCGCCGATCCAGGGTTTGCAGCGTTCTCGCAGGAGATTGGCCTCGCTTCACTTGGTGCTCCGGACGATTGGGTCACGAAACTGGCAACGGTAAGGGCCATGTTGTGGATCGGCTCTCTCTCTCTCTCTCTCTCTCTCTCTCTCTCTCTCTCTCTCTCTCTCTCTCTCTCTCTCTCTCCATAGATTTTTCGGCTATAGATACGTAGGGTTGACAGAGTAAGAACTAAGAACTCTGAGTAGTGGCAGACTGATATCAACGCTGGGCTGTAGGTGTGATGTGGAAAGGGTCAGTGTTCAACTCTCAATGAGCTGTTCTCATCATCATTCAACTATCTGGAAGCATGTCGTTTCATGAGGTAGACAAGAACGTCATGTGTGTGTGTATGTGTGTGTGTGTGTTTTTGTGTGTGTGTGTGTGTGTGTGTGTAAAAATGAAAAAAGACCAAAAATTAGGGATTCACTGGCCAGAAAAGCCACTTCATAGCTGTGTGGTGTAGACCAGGCTCAATAGTGGCGGTCAATTCTTCAGCCTTGCAAGCTGTTGAATGGTGCAATCCCAGCACAAGCTGCTATGGCTTCTGCTGTAGCATCGCTATCATCGCCTCAGGCGATGGGCGTCAAATGGTCAATGGTGTGTGTGTGCGTGCGTGCGTGTGTGCGTGTGCCACAGCTGTACTGGTTCACAGTGGAGTATGGTATGTGTCGAGAAGACGGTGAACTGAAGGCGTACGGTGCCGGTCTTCTTTCCTCATTCGGTGAACTCAAGGTAAGCCAGCTACTTGCTTTTTGTTCTCATCATCGTCATTGCTGATACTGCTGCAGCGGCTGCTGCTGGTGGTGGTGGTGCTGGTGCTGCTGTTGTCCCTTCTGCTGGTGCTGGTGCTGCTGGTGCTGGTGCTGCTGGTGGTGGTGCTGCTGCTGCTGGTGTTGCTCTGGTGTTCATCATTGTCGTCGTTGTTGCTGCTATCTTCCCTCTTGCTGTTGTTGTCGCGTATAAAGGACAGGCATACTTCTGTAGGAGGCAATGCCAGAGCTAGGGTTGTATTGAAATTTGAAATCAGGCTTTGATTCCAACCAGGTATATTTGTTACGGTTTTTCCTGGTGAATAACTTACAGGCTGATCTGGTTTGCTTCTTGAGATCTTTTGATCCATTTTCAAAGAATCCTGTTCCTGCCGATATCATCACATCTCTGTTTGTGTGTGTCTGTGTCTGTGTGTGCGTGTGTGCGTATGTACATGTGTGTGTTTATGTATACATGTGTTTGGTTTATGCAGTACTGCATTAAGCAGTCGGCGGATGACGAAGACAAGACTATTCCCACTCATCAGAGCTTTAACCCGGAGAAGATAGCCGAGACAGAGTACCCAGTAACTACCTACCAGCCAACATACTTTGTAGCTGATAGTTTTGCTGACGCCAAAGAGAAAGTCAAGTACGTCTTGAGTACATGCTTTATACACTCACACATCTCTTATCCGGACACCTCAGATACGTGCACTTTCTACCGGGCACCTTCAGCTTGAGTACTTATGGCAAAAATGCTTTGAATGGGGGGAGGGGGGATTTTTTCATGTGCGTAAGTGCTTATTTGTCACTGCCAACCTGTGTAATCCACACATTTTCATCAGTGGATTCTTTTTATATCTTGAACATGTGCAATGCGTGTCAAATAAACTTCTTCAAGAAAAGATATGATGCATTGTAGATGAGGTATCCTGAGATACGGGCAGTGCCCGGTCCCAAGGTGCCCGGATAAGAGACGTCCAAGTGTACTTGTCTGTTCCATGTTTGTCATTGTACTTGGATGTTGCCAATGTAATCATGGAGTCGCACTTGCTGACCGTGTATATCTGGTGTGTGTGTGTGTGTGTGTGTGTGTGCACGCACACGTGTGTGTATATATCTGCAGGGTGTTTGCGGCGTCTATCCCGCGTCGCTTCACTGTATACTATGAGCCGTACACACAGAGAATGGAGATTCTCAGCAAGCCGGCCGATGTCAAGAAGGCTGTGCTGGCAGCGCGAGCGCATCTCAGTTCCCTCTTTGACTCCATTGAGAAAGTTTGCTGAAGAGTCGCAACACTTCCCGCTCTCCACATATTGTCAGGTATGCTTCAGAGTTCTCATTTTTCGAAGAAAAATAATGGAATTCACAAACCCGCCTGAAGTCAAATTTCAGTAGAACATCCCTCGACGGGGCGCAAGGGTCTCTATGCAGTATACATTATGGCCCGGGTTCTGTGTATCTGATGTCATGCGTCTGGCATATTACTGTAAAACATGTAATTTTAGGTGCATTATAATTTCGGTGCCAGGCACCTGACAGGTTTCGGGTGTAATGTAGAATTAGGTGACCAGCTTTCCTTTCACGTACAGTGCATACCCTGGTGCCTTTTAGGTGTAATTTAAATTCAGGTGCCTGGTTTCTCTACCGAAATCGCCGAAATTAAAGTTCCACCGAAATAGCATGTTGTACAGTATGCTCCAGCCACGTATGACCTCTCTAGTGTAGGGTCCTAGGACCACTGTACTGTGCGGGGGCGTCCAAAGTGTGAGAGGGGGGGTCCGGGTGTCCTCCCTCCGGGAAATGTTTTTGAAAATTGGGCCAAAATGGCCATATTTTAAAATGCTACAGAAGAATATGAGAAGAGAAAAGGACATATGGATACGAGTTAAGAGTAACTCTCCATCACTGTAACATGATACTATATATGCAGTCAGAAAGTGCAATAACTAGGCACAAAACTGACAGAGTACTGAGAAATTCGACGTTCTGACACCTAGCTTCCACACATCTCCGTAGCGCTAACCGACAGCCTTCCAACTTGGAAGTTTCGATGGAGAGTTACTCTTAACTCGTATCCATATGTCCTTTTCTCTTCTACATTTATTTATGGCTCAACATCCGAGTTTCAAAAAGAATATGAGAAATAAGAATATGCATGCTGATGATACACGGCAGCATTGTCGATGTAAAACATGGTACTACCGGTACAAGAGTCGACATGCCATCAACAAGGTTTCTAGGGAATCACTAGATCAAAAAGAGTAATGAAACACGTACTAATATATGGAAACAACAAATGAGGAATATAAGGTAAGAACACAATTATAGAACAATGAAGCGCGAATTGCGGTTGCTGTTCTGGGCATTGACAAATTGACAAAGCAACATTAAAACTCAGCTGGAGCAGGACGCACACTTCTGACAGGAACAACTGACGACTGGACAAAGACTGCACGAAAGACACAACGCTCGGCACGATCGGTGCACCATCACCTTCAGCAACACAATGCGCATGAAGGACTGACAGCTGGTCATGAAGGAGATCCGTCTGGATGTCATCCTTGTACATAGAGGCAATGGCTCTAGCCACTTCTGCAGCTACGGCTGGAATTCGCTGAAGACGGTCAGGAGCTGGTGGAAATTGCTATCTACTTCACCTCCATCTTGCGATGCTCCTCGGAGAGGCAGTCCTTGTCGAGCAAGAAACTTGATGTTTCGAAGGATGAGGAGGAAATTCTCACGATTCTCTTTACGTTCGGACGACAACTGTGAGTTGAAAGGTTCACCAACGTAACCAGTTGTGTACGGAGTTGTCACCGACTTTTCAACAGCCTCCTTCTGACAGTCGCTGGACTGATGTTTCGAGAATCCTCGCGGACCATCCTTCCAGTTGTGAAAGCCAGTTGAAATAAACGCAACATCGGTCTTCATATTGAAGAGGAGCTTTCCTCGAGCTGCCTTTACGCACGTGAAGCAAAATACTCGTTCACGCTTTGTATCCCAATGCAAGCCACGGATAATTGTCATACCAAGATGGCAAGAATGCACGGAACACAACTTGGCTAACCCCGAATGCTTTGGGTAGTCATGTGACCTGGTTTGGAAAAAGAGCATCTCCTATTTCAGGGTAACCTTCCATCTCTTCGAGTCAGAACAATATACTGATACCACTGTACATAATTACAGAGATCTGCCAGCTACCGTCCGTGCTCCGTTACCAAGGTTCACACAGCGTGCGCTACATTTTTTTACCCATGCATGAGATACCCCACACTTTTTCTGGCCTGCGAAAAGCGTAGAATAGATTTTTA